GACAAACCTTTAACAAATTCTGCTTACAGTTGAAAAAGGTGTAAAAAAGAAATGCTATCTATTCTTTGGGGCTCATAATTGGGCAAGATTACTAAATGCACAATAAACAGGTAAACTACACCTTTTTATTCATTAATTTCGTTATTGCAAACTTTCAGCTACTGTGCTATATCCGTTGTCAAACCTAAAATATTGAAAAATAAATAGAAAGTAAAATTATACAACAAACAATCAAAGAAGAGGTAGATGCAACACAATTTGTGTATCCAGAAAAATCAGACATTGCCGAACACTTTCAACACAGAACACAAGTCTGATTGGGAGAAAATATTCGACAAGGAACAACAATTAAAAACTTAGTTAAATTAAAAAAGCTCAAAGAATAAAAATGGAAAGGCTAAGTTTTAGCAGAGATGTTGTTTGTTTGTTGGAACACGACAGATTTGTTAAAGATCAGCGGTGCTCAAAAATGGAAAAATTCCTCATTCGTGGTGTGGAAGGTGTAATTGGAAGTTTTCATAGGAAAAAATGGAGGACCACAGGATCCAACGAAACAAACGTTATGGGATCATAGAATCCAACGCTGAAGACGGGGTGGGGATCAAAAATATCCTATACCTAAAAAATTTGCTGTGGGAGAAAAACAGGAGTACACAGGGAAAAATTCACTTTCACTAGTCGGGCGCCGAAAATTCTACCCGACCAGTGCCCGAACTGTAAACCTACAATGGTAAGAGAAAACCTCTTTAGTAAAAACAGACATTAAAGAATTACTGGATTAGTGACCCAAAAGTTTATATTAACTTGTTAATAAAAATTTGAAGTTGCTGGTGAAAGCGTCAACATTATTATAAGTTTTTCTTAAAACCCCCTAAGGGGCTGAATAAAGAATGTAGTGTTAAATAATCAAATAGGCTTAATTCTAATATCTTGTAACAAATATAGTTAATTAGAATCATGTTTCGCCAGCTTAGAAAAGGTGTTCACGTTATAACACACTTTATAGTACTGTAAACCTTGCGAAATAGATAGAGCCACCTTAAAGCTCTGCATCCACTTTATAGTAAAATTAGAACTGTAGCTGAAGGCTTCTTTAATAAACTCGGCTCATCTAATGTTGATTTTCTTTTAACTGCGAACAGTCTTGTCAAATGCCATAGTAAAATGACCGTGATCATTTCAGAGAAAAGGCCACAAGTAAACTAAAACTCTGAGTGGAATTTTTAATACTTTTTGTCATTATTTTGATATCCATGTTAATAAGGAAAACTTTTAGCTTTATGTTATACTCTTTTGGACTTAATTGTAATTTCAACTTTTTATAATATTCAATATTTTGCGCACGGTCCCTTGTTAAATGATTATTAACTTGTCAACATATAAATGTATTAGATGTGCTCTGATTTTTCCGACTGTTTTAAATACAAAACTGTAATGTTATAACAGTGGTGTTTTGTATGTTGTCATGAAGCTACTCTATTCATTTTGTCAAGTTGATTAGAATTATTTAGCATACATATATATAAAATACCGAAATAAATATGAAACCACTTTTATAATGTACCCGCGGTCCCAAAATGCAGATTGCGTTTTTACGACAACGAACCTCGAACCATGAACTCTCGTTTTCGCAGTCCGAGTATTCTAACCAAGCGTTCTGACCCTCAGTGTACAATTGACGTCTCAGTTACTAACGAGAAGAGTCCGAGTGCAGAAGGACAAAAACCATTAAACGATTTATTAACGCTACTGACGCTACCGAAAAAGGGGAACAAACACCTTGTAAGAGGCTAATAAAAACGTCACAAACCAAGTTATTCCTATGACAACTAATTACATGTTGCTTAAGTATGTTAACTTTTTTATCAAGAAAAAAAATGATAACTCTGCTATGAAGACTTTAGTGTATTCTACACACGTGTAATGTTTCTGTACACATATACATCACATGTGCATGCATAATACTGAACGGATATACTACTTTGTTTCGTAATATACACACACACAACGGAATGTTTTATTCAATACGTAAGGATTTACTGATAACTGCTTAAAGGAGCCCAGAAAGAACTCCTTTTATGATATAAGAAGGAATAAAAAAGTTAAGAACATCCGGGAAGCATGTTAAATTACTCAGTCAAAGTTACTATTGTAAAACGATTACGTACACACGAAACAAGGAAGTACTTCACATAAGATTGTAAGCGAAACACAAAAGTTTAAATCTCGAAGTACCATATTACAGCTTTTATTCAAGTTACATTTTTCTGCTTCTAAAAACAAAACAAAAATAAAAAATAGACAAGATGAAATTTCAAACATGGACGTATCATTAAACATGTATGCATATAAGCTTGAAACAATATGGTATGAGCATGTATCTATAGTATAGATTCTATATAAATAATCGTCAATATGTATGTGTATCTGTCCCCTATACGTTTCCACATTTCTTGATCAACCAGCACCAAACTTGACACAGTGGATGTAAGAATGGGATGATCATGAGGTGGGGTTGGACCTCCCCCATCTAATTTCATATTGATAGAATTCTTAAAACAGTATGTCTTTCTTTTTAGTCTTGGTATCTTGATGTATTTTTATTACACTTTTAGTGTGTATTATGTTAAGAAAAAAAATAGATGCACATTTTTCTATCCGTTGTTAGAAACGAGTTTTTATTTCACTTGTCCAACGAGCAGGTACTCCGGCTAGTATATAATAAATGTGAAAAACAAAAAACTAACAAAATTTAAATGTTTATGTGAACTACAAGTAGAGTTACAATCATTTTCTGAGTTTCATTCGATATATGTAGGAGTTTTTTTTATTATTTCGTTTCTTTGTTTTACCGTAAAGCTACACAATGGGCTTTCTGTCCATTACGAGGAATTGAATCCCGGATTTTTGCATTGTAAGTTAAAAAGCTGCCGCTAATCCACTGAAGGATGGCGGACTCGAACCCGAGGTTTAACATTATAAGTTATAAACTTACCGTTGACCAACCGGGGAACAATAACTGACGTACAATGTGAGCAAGATCAATACAAACCCAATAGCCCATTACATAAAGTACATATATTACTGGATGTCAATCTTGTCGGTTCAACCAGTACTTCCATCAAATGCTGGAATAATAATTTATTGGAAACTAGATGGAGTACCCGTCCCCTGGACGAAAGTTATGTAAATTCATGATTAATGAAAGGTTATCTTAGGACATGAAAAGTTGCTTTTCTTATATGTAATTGTACAAAATGCAAAAACGCCCATAAAAATTGCAAAACACAAAATGCGAAACCGCAGGTTTGCATGTATCTCCGCATGGACCCAACAAACCTTCATACCAAATTTGGTGAAGATCCATCCACAGGAGTGAGTTAGTGGTAAAAACCGCAAAATGCAAAAGTTAAAATTTGTGTGTACCCTCGCATCGACCTACTGAACCGCCATACCAACTTCGGGAAGATTCATCCACACCCAGCGAAGTAGTTACATGGGCATAGAACAGACAGTAATATTATAATTATATAATTCGCCCCCCCTGTAGATGGTTCTTCACCAAATTTGGTATGGAGGTTCAATGGGTCCATAGGTTCGCTCTACATAAACTTAAAATGCATATGCATAATTATACAGGTAATTTTTTCCTACACGGTTCTTTGGTTTTTATTTCAATATTTAGCATTTCTGAACAATTGCAACAAAATAAATTATTTAAATTGCTAACATTTATTATCCACAAGTAGCTGAATCATTGGTCTGTCCTTCTTAAGTGTCACACTGAGTCTTCACTGAATACGTCCGCACTTGATTCTTCATTCTATAATTTCTTTTTCCTGATCTTTGCTTCCTCTAATGCCGTTAGTACTGGCAGTCGTGCCTCAATAACTTAGGTTTTCATTCTCAGTCCACGATTTTCTTTTTTCTGTTGACACTGACCAGATCTTCGTCTTTAGGAGGTAAAGATATAGTGCGACATTTCTGTTGACACTGACCAGATCTTCGTCTTTAGGAGGTAAAGATATAGTGCAACAAGTTCAGTTCAATGGTTCAATCTGAAACGATTCATTTTCCTGTTACATTGTCAAATGCTTCCCAACTGAGTTTACAAGAATCTATAATAAGTGAAAAGCTTAACGCTCACAAAGTCCTTTCTACCACGTTAAAGATGCGGTAATGCCACCTGACTTCTTTAATTAAAGCGTATCTGATCCATAGTGTCCAGTAATGTAATCAGACAAATCACGCAAAATAAGTACTACATCCACGTTAGACAAATGCTCAGATACCTTCATGATCATAGATCCATTTTGCCCATATTCTCCAGGGTCGTTTGACCTTCGTATTATGAGTTGAACCTATTGGCTGCCAGTTGAGTAGGATGGAAACAAATAGCCCCAATGGATGAAAAATATTGTCAACAAGCCCTGTACCCCAGCTGTTAGTTAGGATGATCATTGCAAAGTGTCTTCTTAGTACTGACTCTTTTCTTGAAGAAAGGGACACCTCATATAGCAATGGTTTGTCACCTTCGAGCTTCGAGATAGCTTACAAGATTGGCTGCAAATCATTTGCACACAATAAATTTATGGATGAGGATGCTGACCTGTGAATCTACCATGATAATTTACAATGCTCCTTGGTTTTAACTGCATTATCAAGGTACTTAATAACTTATCGTCAACAACTGTCCACCAAGTAAGGAGGGAAAAACTGAATATATTTCTTCATTTGTTTTACTAATGTTATGGGATGTATGTCGCCAAGTAGAACTTTATAATATGCTTAACTGTTTCTTTAAGTTTGCTCACAGTTCTGAGTTTACCAATGTCCTTAGCAAGAAGGTTCAAGGCATTATCTAGACAGCTACAAATAACGAAGTGAAGATACTTCAATCTTCCAATTACTTGCACGAACTTTTCTGATGTGTTTATCGTAAAATTGAAAATTTCAGCAATATACTCGTAAGTGTGAAATTCAGTTTTCATTTTACTTACTTTCAGAAAAACTGGTTCAGAAGTTGCAAAACATCCAGCTGATTAGAAGTGTTTTCTTTCACATCAGTCCATCTATCTGAAAATAGTATAACTGTATGTTAAATAAGTAAACGCCCTCTACATACATGTTTCTGTAATATATATAGAAATAAAATTTTGAATTCAAAATACTTCATTGTTATCTGAAATGTTATGAACTTTATCCAAATAATCTTTAAAATTAACATATATCCCATATATATCAAATTCATTTTAATCGCCTACGAACAATTAATGTATATACTCGTATTATAAGTCCGTATGATTAGTCCTTCATATAGCTGTATTGTTAGTGTCTTTTACAGACAACTTAGCAGTATTACAGTGACTTGCTCTTGGTCTCTGTATGAAAACTACATAGTACAAGAAAGTAATCCAGTTCTTGACATTATCACATACTCAAAAAAATAACCCCCCCAGTGGCAAAGCGGTATGTCTGCGGACTTACAACGCTAGAATCCGGGTTTCGATACCCGTGGTGGGCAGAGCGCAGATAGCTCTTTGTGTAGCTTTGTGCTTAATTACAAACAATACTAAAAAAATAATCATAAAAAACACGTATCATGTAATGTTTTAATAGATTCATTTCAATATGGCTGCAGAGTTACATCCATTCATAGTACAGCATTAGAAACTTTAATCTGTCTTTATATGTATGTAATACTTCAGAAATAATCTCTGTAGTGTTTTGTTGTATAGTCTCCGATCTAGCTGTTAAATGCTCAAAATACACCTCATGACCTCACAGACGCCCTGGCCACTTCTACCTTTCGAGGCCCCAGGCTATAATAATGGACCTCCTGCCCCCCCCCCCCCTCTAATTGGCCCTACTCTTACTAAACGAGCAAATAAAACGATCCACTGTAAAAAATGTTTTTAATGTTATCTTAATAACAAATTAGATGTGACGTTTTTCTACATTATATTCAGGCTACAAGTAAACATTTCTGCTATCACTTGTAGAACTTACAGTAAAATATTTCAAATGTACTCTAGTATGTTCCCGATTTCAAGCTACCACGTTTCCTAAAGTCAATTATTGATATAAAAACAAATCACTTCCTCTTTGCGCAAGGTTATTTAACTTTTCAAAAACTTTACAAATCTAACTGTTTTCTTCCTGATAAATACTATATCGTGTAACATCCTGAACATGCTACCAAAGTCCGATACTAATGGTAACAACAAGGATTAAAAAATATTGAACAATCCAAACAAATGCTTCTGGAGCTATCAGACAAGTTGCTACCTTTATTCTTGTTCGGTGTTAAAAGTACTGGACATAAAAACAGACTCATACACATCTCATCTATCTGAAAAAAAAAGTAAATAGAATTAATATACTACTCAATAAAAAGAAACTTATTTCAGTGTGTTTCAGCTACAAGATTTCCTACCAGTCAGACTAACGTTGCTAACAATGACAAAAACCTAATTAAAAATTAACCATGATTTCCATGGCTCATTTTTGTTGTGGATACTGTTTCTCTTGTGTAATTTTGTTGGTAAAATTCATTGAAATTAAGCACATTATGTAAGATATGTATATTATATATTTTGTCAATTACAAACGTCTTCTGGCTTTTATAATCACATTTAACGTATACAAACGTAAATCGTTTTATGTAATTCTACGAATCACCTCGTACCTCCATGTTTATTGTTCAATTTTTTTACACTATTCGTGATGCACAGTTCCTCCCATACAACGTCAGATAATCATAAAAAGTTGAACATGTTTTCATCATCAGCTATTTATATGTGTTTTACAGATTTCTTTTTTATTACTCTACATCGAAAAATAGATCACAGTAAACCAAACAATTCTGGTGATTCTTCAGAAAAATGGTGTCTTCGCTTTAACTCTCTAGGCAATATCACTTATCGAAATTTCATTCTTTCATGAAAACGAATACTTTAAAATTAATCACATTACACTGTAACACTGTATTACAAAAAAAATCATAATGCATTCTTCTGTTCCGCTTCGCTCGTTATAGTCTCTGATGTGCAGTGGAATTAGTAAACGTGTGTTTGTGTGTGTGTGTGTGTATATATATATATATATATATATATATATACT